AATGCCGAGAAAATATTGAGATACGATAATGTTAAAGTATGTTAGTAGCGCTCAAGATGCGCGATTATTCTCGAGGAAGCTGAGGAAGATATACATATTTGTAAGGTACTTGCCTGACGCACCTGTCTGAATTGCTCTTCAAAGTTCCAGTTGGACCCGGATGGATGCTGATTGTTCGCCGATGTCGAGGCGCGAGATTCACACTCCCGAGATTCTCCGTTATTTCTGGAGCTTCCTTGCGAGGATTCGCTGTTATTCCTGCAGTTTCGTTGCGGAGACTCGCCGGGTTGCGAATTGGCAACAGGAGGTCTAACGGAAGCGGAAGCGGAGGCGGAGGCGGAGGTGGAGGTGGAGGCCGAGGCCGAAGCCATCATTAATTGATTCTCGACGACATTTCCGAGATTCGACACGATCGGTTGCGAATGATTACTCTGCGAATGCGGCGACTGCTGTTGCGGCAGTGGCGGTGGTGGCGGCGGCTGTGACGACATATACATGGGCGGGAACAAGGGTACGCTGAAGTTACTACTCATCGCAGCATGTAGAGCTTCCAAACCGTTCCTTTGCATCTCTGCGTCATTGTACTGTAGAAAAAAAAATTGTTCAAAATGATACCTGATTAAGCAAAGTCAATTCTATTAAAACTTATACGATGAAAAAAAAATTGTCAATTAGTTGATTAACATTATAAAGAGAAGGCACGCACACATACATACACACAACTCGTTTTTGTCTGAGATCTGTGCGAAATCTTTATTCCACCATTTGCGAAACTTGAAAATATTAAATTATATCGTTTACTGACAAAATGTAGAAATCTGACCGGTCAGATGTCAAACTCTCTAACTATTCTCAGTTTAAGAGCTATATAGTTTAAAAAGCTCTTCAATATGTGTGTTGTTAAAATTTCTTAAGAACGAAGAATCTTCTTTAGATCTTTTAATTTTCACACGCGCCAAGTACACATGTACTATTATACGTGATCTCTCTCTTTCTTCTTATCGGAATACGATCGTAAAGATATTTGCGCTAACCCAGTGTCATCCGGTTTAGGCTGTTGCGTAATAAAAAAAAAAAAAAAGAAATCTATTGTCACGATGACGCAATGGTAACTCATTTATGACTGTCAACGTCCGCTGTTACGACTATCTCACGATTTTCCACGATTCGTGTTACCCTACTTGGCACTTTTGTGAGTCAACGAACGCTCAAATGTGTCGAGCAACTTTTATGACGAATTATGCAGTTGCTTATCTTTACAAAAACTGAGCAATGCAAACAATAGAGAACTCATCACAATAAGATTATTTTTCGAAATATGTATATGCTCTCCCTCTCTCTTGGCGCCGATAAAGCGTGTATGCTCAGCGAAAGCAAGTGTCGAAAGATTAAATACAACAGGGATAAAAAAGATTGCTCTTCACTAACCTGTAATCTAAGCTTCGCCAGGAGTTGCGGATGCATGTTCATAAGATTGTTTAAATGCGCTAATGAAGATGTGCTAGCAGCTTGTGCCGCAATGTCCAACGGCAATTGCGAGCTGCCTTGAAGCGGTTGCGAAAGTAAGTCTTCGTCGTCCTGTACTTCGTCATCCAGATCGGATTCGTCCATCTCTTCACGGTATGACTGAAATCACAAGAGAATACAAACATTAGATCATTCTACGAAATTCTATTTCAATATTGTATCAATAACTAGATAAATAGACGAGCGTTCTCGTATTATTAACGACATGTGACGAGTTATATATTATAAAATTGATTAATGAAAATATTTCTTCTACCAATTGTTTTTTTTTTTCTTTTTACTAAAGTTTTTTTTTTGTATACTGGTAATCAGTCGAGCTTTTCGCTTCTCCTCGTTTTCATTTCAAACTTACGCAAATTTCACGATTACACCTTGAAAAACCTCGATAGTATATTTTTTTTTGCATAGTGGGAATGGAATAGGAAACAGCAACATCTATATGATAACGCGATACCAACCGCGCAATCGTAAGCAACGAGGGCATAGATAGCGAGACATTAAACATTAATTAGGAAAATGGCGAATGCGATGAGTTATATACACCGAGATAGCCGCTATCGAGTAACATTATTATGCTACGGGTGTCATAAGTGTTTTACGGCTGTGCCCATTGCGCATCGGTGCCGGCATAAAAATGTACAAAGTCGCATTACCGGGAACGGAAACGACCATCGTAAAAAAAAAAAAAAAAAAAAAAAAAAAAGAAATGGAAATTAAAATTTTTTTTTCGTGCAACCCGCGTGAGCGTTTCCTTTGTCATAATATCACGCGCCCTTATTTCGTCGCGCAACAAAAGTGGCGTGGCGAGAGGAATATATGGGACAAAGAGGCACGTAATGAAATGCGTCCGAGTTCAAGCTTGATGTGCTGCAGGAGCGACTATAGGGGATGGGCGAAACCAGCGTCTCTGTACCTTTGAGCGTGTCCAGTCGCGGAATTCAGCCGTGATTCCGGCGACCTTTGTCTTCGCACATCTGATAAGTACTCTTCGTTTTACCCTTCGTTTCTTCCGTGGAATCTGGTTCTTTCGAGCGAAGTGCTACGAGGCCAGAGATAGAAATAGATGGATAGATGAGCCAAAAGGGAGGAGGAGAATGAAGAGGTTGCGAGGGAATTAATAGCCACGGTGAAAAGAACGAACGAGTTTGCCTCGTGAAAGGCACGATCTGGTAATTAACGCCGACGAAACGACTCTGCCGCCCACTAGCTGCGCCTGTTCACTATCAACCCTGTACCCCATCGACACCCCGCACAGTTCGGCCACCCTCGCGCATAGCGTATAAGTTCCACCGATTCGTCGTACTCACGACGATGATGGGCATATCGCGCCCGAGCAGGCCGACCCTCGTCGAATGACGACGTGACAGAGCGGGCAGCATTTCGCGCGACTTTAATACTCACGCAGTGCGGCGTCGGGCACGCATGACACAGCAACAACGATAGAGCCGGCAGATAACCGTAGATTTCGAAAAAATTGCAAGCTGACAGTTTATTTTTGTCGAATCATTGTCGAATGAAATTCTCGTTACAAGGCGCTAGAATTAGATCTTCTCTATGAAGAGAAAGAGATTTGAGAATCTTTTGTAACTTATTTTTTTATGATTGTAATAAAATTATAAATAAAATGGCTAAAATAATTGACTGCCCATTGTTTTAAATTTTATAGCATATTTTCTGTTGTTTGTAAAATTTGCTTATTAATTAAATAAATTTGTTTTATATGAATTTAATTTCTCTGTGAGCGTAAATAAAATTAAATGACAGAGAAACAAAAGTAGAATTTTTTGTTCACTCTTTTTATGTATTTAATTAAATATTTATTTTTTAAATATATTTGTTTATATCTATTTGCACACAAAATTAAAGTACTTTTTCTGACTACTTATCATGTTGTTATATCATGTATTTTATTCACTTTAATAACTTCTCATCCCCTTCATGAAAGTGATGAACAATGGAACGGATGATACCGATGAATTTGTGAAATTCCGCGACAGTGAAATAGAATAATTAATTATTCAACGTTTAATCAACCTCCGCTCCTAAAATGCATTTTTGGGAACGTGTCCCATAAGGTGAATAATCGTTATTCATGAGTCTGTTAAAACTTGCTCCAAAATGTTTTTTCAATTATACATTTACAATTTCTTAATTAAGAACTTGCACATTTGCAAACCGCAAAAAATATATTGTTCGTTCAATTTACGATTTTATTACTAGAATAAATCATAAGTTACTAGGTGAATCGCTATCACAAAATCTTATTATAAAATTCACAAACATATAACAGTAATTATTTTTTTAAATAATTGTCATTTGTTTTAAATTTTATACAAAAAAAGGTTTTTATTAAAAAAAACGAATGCAAAAATGTTTTACAGCAAAATTTGGCCTCTATCATTTTACTATGAAGAGGTTTATACTGATATCTTATTTATTTTATCAAGAGTCAATTTAGCTTGATTAATCTCCAATCTTTTCTGGTTTGCCAACATAATATTGATTCGATTTATTGCAACATCTCTCTCGCGCGAGCTTCTTATTGTCAGTCAAAGAGCTATATTTTCGTATGCGGTCGATCGGGTGGGAGAAAACGGCCGCTTTTTATGATGCACTCGGCACAGATTCAGAAGTAATTTGCCTCGCGAGCAGTCATTTTGGCCGCTTGCATCCTACGATAAACTGTCGTGAATCGCTTTCTGTTGTTCGACATGGAATCTGACTGCAGTTCTCTACGCTTCGTGGTCGTAACTCTACCCAAAGAGAAGATGGACATTACATATTTTTTTTTTCTCACCTAGAATTAACTCAGCCGCTCGATAAATGTCTCGCCCGCGACTCTCGAGACGTAGGCGAGCGTCGACTTTTGCATGTATACTTATTTTTCGCGCGCTGATAATCACACGGATATTTTTTTGGAAATTTATGTTGTATCTTAATCGTGATATAAATTATTGAAAAATGCGCGAGAGAGAGTTGCCATAAAATGTCACGAAGGCATTCGAAGAGAGTGAGATTTCACTATTCTATACGAGGGAGTATATGCCTTTTTATATCTGAAAGAAGATGCAAATAGATTCATCGAAGCTTCGAGTATATTCGAACGGCGAGAGGCGAGCTTTTACCTGGAAAGGGCGGACTTGAGTAAATATATGCCTATCGAATGCAGGTGGATCTCCAACGGTAAATGCACCGATGCTGGTCGCCCAATCTTAAATGGGACTACGATCGAAGGACAAGGCATTCGATGGGCGAGGAGCGACAAACGGTTTCTCTCTGTCGGCGTTTTGAGCACGTGTGATAATATTGACCCTCCACGGTGGTGGCCAGAAATGAATGAGCGGCAAGAAATAGAATCCTGATCAAATACGAAACAAGTTCGTTTCTCAGATTTTGAATCGAGTCTCTCGCTCAAACAGCTATAAAACTCGTCGCGCTTACAAGAGAAAAAAAAATAAGCTTAATAACGAAATCAAAATTACGTAAAATTGGCTATATATTTACAATCAAGGACACGATAAAATCTTAAATAATGTTTCTATAAAAACATTAGGATAAATACATGCATATTGGAAGATATACATATATATTTTTAACAGTATGTCCATCGAACGTTATTGAATATCAACGGTATGTCATTTGCATATGCCAATGCTCGAAGATCTCTTCTAATAACGCATCGTGAAAGTGTGTTCCGGAGGCAAGCTGTTTACGCGAAAAGTATCGTAGAAATCGCCGTATCTCGGGAGGTAGGTAAAGGCGTGAAAATAAATTACGGTGGTTAACGCTGTGGCATCGTTATTCTCACCGTGGCGCGCCGGGTTACGAATTATATCATTCAAAAGTGTTTGCGGACGGTACCGTCATTACAATAATCACGGTAGAGCCGCGTTCGAAGATGCCATTGTTCTAGTCCTCGAACCGAGCGCTCGCACGTAGGTGTCTGTATCTCGTATGGAAAGTGACCAAGGAGATACGATGGTTGGCATCCGCCAAAGCGAATCAAATATCTCGGAACGGATAGACATTTATTAATCGACTTGGATCTGTTTGAGGATCGATATATATGGTGATCTTTTCTATTTGTTGAATTTATAAGTATATACATCTATATATGAATGTGCGTTATATCTTGATCGTTATCGCATCGATAACAATCTTATATCTCTAAATGGATATTTATATAGAAATTTCCTCAATATTCACTTTTGTGGAAATGCAGATTATAGAATGACGTATATCCATTCTCTTTTTTTTTTTTTTTTTTTTTTTTTTTAAGAGGGTACACGGGATAAATTTGATAAGAGTGAGCTTTTTCGGATGATACGAAAAACTTTATTAATACCATGGTGATAAAGATCGCAAAGTGATCAATATATTGCGCAATAATATAAACATATTTTAATTATGAATTTTTATTTTTCATCTGAAAATTTAAGAAACCGAACGAAGTGTGCGTCATGTATGAAATCAATAAAAAGAATTTATGGAAAAGATGATAAAATGCGTTAATACTGGATAAAGTCAATGCACTTTGACGTAGTACGGGATATACTGGTGTTTTATAGTCAATCTTCTCACTATTGGATGTATCAGACGATGCACTTATTCCAATCGAAAAGAACGAGATGAAGTCAGACGTGCGTTAAATCCCAGCCGAAAAAGCTATACGCGATTTCGTTGAAATATCGACAGTTCTCGAAAATATGAAATATAAGTTGTAGCTTTGTTTATTGCCATAATTTATTATTAATATTCTTAAAGGGTTATGTTATATGCATTCAATCATAAACTCACCCTCTTGTTCGCATATCGGATTTGTATATGTATACATATATGTAATATCACAGTTTAATGAGATTTAACTTTTTTTTTGATAGCAGGATGACTGGAATAAATCAACGGAGGGGATAAAACTGTCGGCGTGAATAAACAAGTGGGCGGTTTCATCTCTCGAAAAGAGAAAATCGTTCTCTCTCTCATTTCCCCTCTCCCCCCTTTCCGTCCCAAAAATATCTATACAACTTATGTCTCAATATCCGTGCATTATATTGTCACATTTTATCGATCTCGTCGCTTTTTCTTTATTTAGATGACGT